CAACATTCGGCGACATATTCACTGACAAACGCGACGACATCGTACATCTCGATTCTGGTCCATGACGAGCAACTACCACTGAGCATAATTCGATGTGGCATCTCGTCACTGATTTCTACACACTAACCATCGCAACACACCGATTCGACCACTGCTGAACCGCGCGGGGAGATTTGTGTGTGTCGACGGACGGACGGACGTGCGTGCGCGCGTGCGCGTACAAGATGAATGGCTCGGAGAAGGAGTTGTTCGTCGAGCAGGGCAATGGATTCCTCGAAGTGCAACCCCAGCAACTCAAGGTAAGCGTCTCTCCTATCCAAGTACATTGCTATTTTCGGACAGTTTCATTGATCTGACCTGACGATGTCATTTGAGAGAGAAGTATCTACAAAATCTCAACAATTTATCTTATTTCAAGATATTTGAATGCCAAAAAAAGAGCGAAACAACTGGTCACTAAGATGATTGGAAAGTCGAATTTATATCAGATTTGTTATTAGAATGATTTTTTACGATATGTTATCAGCCATTAGTGAAATTTGATTCGATATTGGAGATCAGTTTCCCATTTTGCTTCTTCTCTTTATTCACTCCTGGAAATCCTGAAGCACTGTCAAAAGTCTTTATTAGGTGTTCGGTATAATTATGGCATATTGAACTTCCTTTCCCCTAAAAAAAGCCTCACTGAAGATGCGTCAGGAGCAAGCGAAACAAAATTTAGCAGCGTCCAATCGATATATCGATTTTCTTACTTTGACTACCTCAATCGCTTGACCTACCGAGATTACCAGTCGCAACCCCCAATCGATATATCGATTTCAAATTACATCGTAGTTTGCCACTCTTTTTATCTATACGTATGAACAACAAATACTCGCCTTTGCTCCTCATGCATATTGATATTCACATTCCCGTTTCTGGATTGCCCTTCGACCCGGTACAATTATCCCTTCACTTTTTGCCCCATCCTGGTCTGTCTAACCCATGATCGACCGCATTGGTCATAGTCTATACTCGCCATTGCATTTCTGGTGAAGAGTAGCAGTTGATGTTTGCGTACTCGATAGCGAAAGCGCTTCAAGCCCATAAATCAGTGCACTAACAACATATTTTTCCTTCCTCCGAGGTATGCATAGAAGATTTTGAGATCCACTTTTCCTGCCTCGTAACTCAATTTGATCTTGCTGGAACAATAGCTCTAGACAAATTGAGATTCAAGTGTAAATTTGAAAAACTCCCATAAAAGTGTTAACCTGTAGAAATATTTCATAAGGTCTAGGGTGTTCTATTGATTGGGTGACTGGGTTAGCGAACCATTTATTTTTGTAAGGTCTCACATTAGTTACAACCTTGCTAACTCTTCATACTCTTGAATGTAATAGCAAAAGCGTTTTAAGTCCGTTATCTTGTGCAGTACAACATATTTTTGTGCTATCTCCGAGATTATGTATTGGGAATTTTGAGCAACATTTTTGTCACATCATAGCTCGCATTAATTCTGCTGATATAATGCGAATTACCTACTGCATAGCCGTAAGCCTTAGAGTAGGGCATCAGTAGAGGCTGCGGATGTACACTTGAAGGTAACAAACAATGAATAAATAATCTTCGGACTTCTCAAGTGCGTTTCAATCTGCGCATAATAATTCGTCTGAACAGTAAGGAATTTTTGCGAGAACTTTACTATATTCTCTAGCCTCATGCTCACGGAGAACAACGTGTGAGAGAAAGAAAAAGTCATAAGAAAAATCATAAATCAACCCAGGGTTGCAGCAATTTCATTTCTTGGCACCAATTTCTTACACTAAAACTGCAAGAAATATGCCCTATCATGCAGCATGCACAGAATTCCTACCCTATCACAAACATAAAATATGTTCTTAGGAGAATATGTTTACATGCACTTGGGTAATGGGTTAGATAGGTATGCTAAGAATCTTTGGATTTGAATGTCTCTGCTTTGAGTCTTTGAAATTTCACCAGATACGGCTGCAAGCTCTGTTGAAACCGTACAAAACGGGCAAAAAGAGAGCTTTTATGTGTTGCTTGAACTGCTTAAGAATTTTTTGGGGTGAAATCTTTATGACAATCTTGAGAATGCTATCCGATAAAAATAATCTAAACACATGTAACCTACTCAGTGGTGGTCTCAGATTTTCGTTTGGGGAAGGGGGACAGAAAATTTTGCATGAAGGTGCGTGGCGTTGGCCACGCACTTTAAAGAATTATTTGGGATGAACCCACTAATCTCAACTTCTGGAGAACTGAGAACTTATTTCCTTCGATCTTTTTAAGTTTTTAAATCACAAACGTATGCTTCTTCGGGCTGATTTTTTAAACAACTTGCGAGAATCTAGAGAATCTTGATTATGTATATCAGAACGCTTCTTTTTGCCAGTTCCATAAAGATTTCTTCTTCGAGAATCGCTTGAAAGACCACAAATGAAGAGAATAAAAAGGCAATTCGCGACGTTATCACCGAGAATCTTTAGAAGACAAATCGGTTTACAGGGCCGTAACATAATCGAATAAACTCGTGTGTAAAGCGAAAATCGCTACAAGCGCTGACAAGTTTGACTACTCCAGCAGTAGCAGAGAGACACACCAAGCCATTTTTCGACCACGCTGGTCACGTTCCTAGCATACTGTCCTCGATCAATTCCCGCCGGTATCACTGTTCCCGTTCGCTTTACAAAGTGTTCCCTTTGCTGGGAAGTAGGTGTGGGTGGGTCGGTGGAGGTGGCCGGTTCTGGTGGGGGTCGTGCACCAGCAGCATCCTCTCGTCTTTGTCTCGACGAACGACATCGACCTCTTCTTCGGCGTCTGCACAGGTAGTTGTAGCTGTGCAGCAAGTTGATAAGGAGAAATTAACGTCAAACGCCCGAACAAGCGAGAGGAGCCGAAGAGTGCCGTAGAGAACCAGTTGCGGCATACATACACACCACCACCACCAGCATACCCCGTCGAGACTGTGCGCACATCTCGCGTCTTGCGCGGATATCACCAAATTATCTCCCCCTGTCCACATCCGAACCGCTTCAATTGCTACCACTGATCCCTACGGCGATCGATTCCCCCCGGATATACTCCGCGAGGCGAGATGGCGCAACGCTTTGAGCACTTCGAAACCTGTCCAGTACCGCCCGCCACGCTGGTACGGCACGACTCAGTCGCACACGATGAGAAAAAGGTGAGTGAATGGGATCGTTTTGCGCTGCGATATACGTTGCGAAGTTTACGCCAAGCGCAAGTTCGGCAGACGATTGATTCGCGGCTTTATCAGTCGCATACTGTCGCATATCGCCGGACAACACGCCTTAGTACAATGACTCGGCCGTGCGTGTAGCTGGTGCGTGCAACGACGTTGCAGGGAATTTGAACACGTCGGCGTAGTTCTTTCATCTGCATTTTTTGTATTCCTCTCGTTTGTTTGGTGTTTTCTGTGTTTTTGTGTACTTTTAGTTTTTTTTCCATTTGCATGCATCTTCAGCTACTTTTCTATCTTGCACAACGCAATCAAACTGCTGTAAATTACCGTTTTCTTACTTTGTCGCTCCATGTCAAAAATAGGTCATTCAAACAATTTTGCATGCAATTTCGCCATAAATCTTCTCATCTTTTCGGTATAGCCTGCTCCAGCGTTGAGAACTTTTCGAAGTTGGCCAAATCGCAGAAGGATAGTTACACCCCTTTTGTGAGACTGTGGAGCTCGACTGCAATTTTGAAAGTGGTGGCTAAATTGGATCTCGTTGCCTTTTTTACAGCTGAACCAGAATTCTGATCATGTTGACTGAAATGATGCCAGTGTTGGGAGTTCGCCTGGCACGGCACTGGCACCAAACCAATCCCATTCAAATGCTGTTAACATTTTGGACGCATTTTACGGTTGCATTTTATTATTCACATATTTCTCTCATGTGCGATCCACCGAATGCTGCCTCACTCAAGAACGTCTCTTTTTTTACTCGTACTGCTAGCGCGATGCTGTTATTCTCATAGTTTGCAAATGCACCATTTAGAAACTCAATATGACCTATTCTTTCAGTAGTTATAAGATCCCCCATTTGGAAATGCTGAGCTTTTCAGTTACTGATTTACGGAGAACCAATGACTAAACCTGCAGTGCGTCGGGTTCAGTTTTGGGAGTTAGCTTACAAAACCCAGTTCTTCCGGCGGCCTCAAAAATGAGCTCATCTTCGGGACCCGTCATACTTCGCCGAAAAAAGCCCAAACAAGCCCGAAAAAGCCCAAAAGAGCCCAAAAAAGCGCCAGAAAGAGCCGGAACACTTCTCGCACGTTTTGGCGCTAAGGCATGTGTGTTGACTTCGCAATCGACCCTTTTTGTCATTTTCTATCGTCCGCATGATAAGATAATGTCAGAATTCTACCAAAAGTTCGTTTCTACATTCCGGCTCTTTCTGGCGCTTTCGGGCTTTTTTGAGCTTTTTCGGGCTTTTTTGGGCGCTTTTGGGCTTTTTTCGGCGAAGTATGACGGGTCCCTCAGAGTACAACTACTGTAACTGGCGCTAACAGTAAAATACTTTTCAGTAGGATAAAAGGTACGATAATGTGTTGGGTAATGCTGCAGAAATCTGTTAATAACCGCGCCTGTGTTGCTTTCTCTGCCTACAGTACCTTAACAGTCATCAGTACTGCCCGAAGTGACATTTTGCTCACAATTTTCGTGGATACTATGACCTTGACCTTTCAACCGTAACCTACCGTACCATTTCAAGAGCGATTGTGAACTGACTACCCTACAATTTCACAAAAACTCGAAGTTCTTTTGCCTTGTTTTGAACAAGTGCTGACCCCTTGAGCAGGGGTGACAGAAGTTTTTGGATTCGTACAAGCCATACTTTGCTGCCAGCAGTGGCGTAAATTAGCCATCTTCAAAAGTCCTTCTCTCAGTTGCTCTCTGCTTTACTTCTCGTTGTGCGTACCCGCATTCGATTACTTTGCCTCGTACATCCCTTTATCGTATCTGTTTTCGAAGGCGACTTCTTATTCTTCGTTCTCTGAGCCTTTCCTGATGAAACATGTCCTAATCGATGTAGACGAGAGCTTATCTTTAGGTCAGTTCAAGTCTTATTCTTCTGTGTAGTAGTCGTTGTCTGCTGTATTGGGGTGTCTTGTGTTTTTGTTGCCCAGAATGATATAGCTAATCTCGTTATCTTGGCTTCTCTCCGCATATGCAAGCAATTGATCAAATCTTCAGCTTAATTCATTGCATTTTGATATTCAGTAGCCAGAAATTTGTATGTGATCAAAGTGCATTTAATAATGTGCATTTGCCATCAGACTGCTCTCATTGTGCCCTTATTTGGTCGTTTAGAACGGTACACTTATCGATTACACAAAGCTGTTTCTACTCAGAATCTCTAGATATAAAATCACAGGCGAGATCGCTTCGCAATGGATTGCGCTTGGTTTGAAAAAAGCTTAGTTCTCGACATTTTTTTGTTCGCATGAAACGCGTTTCTTGAAACGTTGACATCTTTTTTAGTACATTTTTTTTGTTGTTCATTGTTTCGGATAACATCGCATTTTGCCGACTCCATTAATCAAGCATCCAATACACTCTCACCGCAAACTTGAATGCCATGAACGAGATTTTGTTTTTTCCGTCTTACCAGCCATTCTTCTTTCATTTTTTTTCAATTTTACACTAAGTATTATTGCAAAGTTCGTTCGTTCTATGCATTTCTGACATGATTGTTTTAACCGTATTCACTGAGCACGTCTTGGCTGTTTATTGCCAAACGGCCTTTGAACATAAAAGCAAGGTTTTGAGCTCTGAATATCTGGTTTATGGGTTTTTCTCAGAGATAGCTCAAACTTTCCTATCGTGTGCTGCTGTCTATAATTGTCACTTTGGATCGCATCCGGCTCTCAGAACTGCGCGAAGATACTTCATCACAGCCTTTTTGTAAAAGGGACTGGTAATCTTGCACCCTCTCCCACGAGGGACCGTAGATTCGCCCGCAGGAACGATTACTTTTGGATTGGAGCAGGAATCCTTCGTAGAGCACCTTACTCTTCCAACGCTGAATTTGAGGATGCGCTTGCCAAATAACTCAATGTTGCGTCTTGCAACTCTACTACTGCAACTCTAGTCTCCGTATCAAGCTTGTCGAGCCACTTCCTCTGGTCGTGATATGCACTGACTTATATCAGTGGAGCTTTTGCGCTCGGATGTACTCAATTACGGCTAACACTTTTGCAGACGCTCTTGCCGCGTTTGTCATTTGAGCGGACTTCTTCTATGCCATGCTTGGCAACAGAAATCTATCCGAGAATATTTGAATTGGCAACAATTTGTGCAAGTTGTGTGCATTATCAAACTATCTTCCAGATAAAGGTGGAACAAAGATTGATTTCATGAGGGCATCGCAATTCAATGCATAAACACTAAAGCATGCGGAATAAAAAATACATCGCAGCACTTTATACTCCGAAAAGGAGAACATTTCACAGTCAAGCTCTGCCATATTTTGCTTTGTAGTATTTCAGATTTACTTGAATCATTCAGGCCTATTGTAGAATCATTCTCCTTTTGTCATTTTATCATGTTCTTGTAAATCTGAAACACTGCAAGGGCTGACTTGAAAACTGGAGTCATAGTTCAAGTTTGTTGAAGGTGACTTTGCAATTCTTATTGCAAACGGTCTTGGTTAATGGTGCCTACATTTTCGACAAACTAAGTCGTAAAACCTAAGCATCAGCATTTCAGATTCTTTTGCAGACTTATATTCTTGGCGAGCTTTGAAAAATGAAGTTCAGTGGTCTTTTTCCTCGCTTACATTTCTGAGGAAAGCTCTATGCATCTGATACTTGAATTAGCCTTTCAGGTCCAAGCAGCATTATGTATGGTGACAAAAATCTACAGCGTATCCCAAAATAATGTGCACACTGTGTGATCGTTAATGACTCTCTTGCCTTCATGTCTTTTTGAAGAGGGCTGTACAAATTTGACGGAGTTGAAAAAACAACCACTTATCAAGAGCGAAGGCCATTTATGCTCATACACTGTAAACTAGGCATGTGCATATCATTAAAAAGAATAACAACCTCGACAATAAGCTGTCAACATGGTTAATATTTATTTATCTCCTTACCTTCGTACCTGAAATTTTCTCAACACAGCGATTTGACTTTGACAAAAGCATAAAAGAACAAATCTTGGCCGCTTTCGAGAAGTCACAGCAAGAAGACGACGATCAACCGCTGATCAGTGCGCAACATTCACAATCAGAGACAAACTACGATGTTAAGAAGCTGGTACAAATTAGTTTCTTAGTGTCACCTTTTTTGCAAGAATTTCGCTTATAGGCAGACTCCCCAATAGTCAAGGCATTCACTGATGCTGAAAGGAGACGGTTGTCCAGATTCCAGATCGAAAAAGTGATATTTACTAAAGAGAAGAGGAAAAGGCAAATCAAACTTTTACGTACAAATTCAAACCGCATTAACAAAGATTGTACTTGATGCTGACAGTAATGGAAACTTAGAGCTTGAGTAACTCATTTTATGCTGTAACTCTGCGCGGTTTCCCAAAATCAGTTCCCGCTGGCGATACTCACTTGTCCAGATTTGCCTAGACGCCGCTTTCAAAGAAAGTGGCTCGACAAGCTTGATACGGAGACTAGAGTTGCAGTAGTAGAGTTGCAAGACGCAACATTGAGTTATTTGACAAGCGCATCCTCAAATTCAGCGTTGGAAGAGTAAGGTGCTCTACGGAGGATTCCTGCTCCAATCCAAAAGTAATCGTTCCTGCGGGCGAATCTACGGTCCCTCCTCTCCCACTGTCTCCTGGTATCCCGCAAGCAGCATTTGGCATTTCTGAGCAGTTCATCGAGTCGCATCCTTCTGATCGGGCAGCTTTGGATGCAGCTCAGATTTGAGGTTGACTTAATAGCTTTTTCCTTTGAAGAAAAATACATTACTTTGAGTAAATTGGTCGTTTTCATGTCTCTGTAATCTTAAAAATTCTGCAAATGTGTTTTATTCTGGGCAGCAGAAAACATCTTTCAATGTGGGTCAACTCGCACTGATACCTCGCGTTAACAGTGATATAAATCGCGTGTTCATTTTTCCATATATGACGTGACTGTTGGCCGAGCCAGACTGAGCTGTCACCAAAATCAGTGGAACCATCAGTCATCGCATTTGAAAAAGTCCGCATGTAAGGCTGAATATGACTGTATCAAAATTCGAAGATGAGTGTAAATCACCTATTCGGCGATTAAGAAAATTTTAGCTTGAGCGGTGATATAAGATATGCAAAAACTATCGGAACTTCATTAAAACACGTAATTGTTGAGTAGAATTTTTACACAGTGTCGATTTTGGCACTGTAGCTGTGCTGCAGCGATCTTTTTGAGCAGCATTTTTTATCGAAATTTTTTTTTTGCAAATTTCGAAGTTTAACGAATACGTTACTGGTGATTTGCTCTCGTTGCATTATCCTAATAATCTCCAGTTTGCGATATATCCAGACGAGTTGACCTTCTTGTCCTTGTTCAGCTTTCTTTGTCACTAATATCCTTGCCGTCCGCTTGCAAACCCTTTGTGCTCACTCATCCTTTTGCTTTGGCTCGAATCGGGATGGCCTTTTTGCAGCGATGGCGAACCGGGTACGAAGGCGGAATCGGGGGATCAGCTCCAGTGGAGATGTCATGGCACAGGAGCCGGACATGGGATTCTCAGATTCTGGTCCTCACTTTCCAATGCTTTATCGACATACTGATGATGAAGATGATGAACGCTTATTGCGTAAAGATGTTGTTAGTTGCATTCAGAGAAATAAATTCTGTTCGTTGTGATGTAACACTACAAAAATGCGCGTAGTTATGATTTGAGAAATTTAAGAGAAGTTGAAATGAGATTGTGGACCTTTTGGATTAATATTCCGTTTTAGTCGTTGGACTCGAGTGGAAGCTGGTTCTCGCGGACGCGGGAGTCGCTCAGAGGGGATATCTCTTCCATTTGCCTTCTTCTCTTCCTCTACCTGCTGCAAGGAGTTCCTCTAGGACTTATTGGAGCGATCCCTCTTTTGTTACAAGGGAGACATGTGTCATATGGGCAACAAGCAATATTCTCTTTTGCTTATTGGCCATTTAGGTAATGTGGTTCTGAACTTTTTCGCTTGAAATCAAAAATCATTCCAGTATGAAACTTCTATGGGCGCCTATAGTTGATTCCGTATATTGGAAGCGAATCGGTCGACGGAAATCATGGATGGTGCCTTGCCAGTACCTCATCGGAGTATTCATGCTCGTGTTGTCGTTCAAAGTCTCCTATGTAATGGGGGATGGAACAGGTTGGTTTTTTTTTTCTAAGCAAAACATCCAAATCTAGACAATAATCATCTTTGAAGAGTATTGGGTTGGCTCTTGTCAGTTAATGCCAACCTCAAACAAAATTTTTTTTCTTATTTCTAGAAGAGACAGTTGCAGACCAGGGTCCAAATGTTTTATTTCTAATGTTGATATTCCTTCCTTTGAATTTCCTCGCAGCTACCCAGGATATTGCTGTGGATGGTTGGGCGTTGACCATATTGTCAAGGTATGTGCGTCTTCTATCTTAATATTTTTCTTGAAAAATTTGACGTTTTTATTCAACCGTTGTTATTAATTTTGCTCAAAACTTTTTTTTATTATGATCGATGATATCTTTGCAGGAAAAATGTGGGTTATGCTTCCACATGTAATGCTGTTGGTCAAACGGCCGGATACTTTCTTGGGAATGTGGTCTTTCTTTCATTGGAGTCAGCGGATTTTGCAAACACTTTCATCCGTTCAGCAGACAATCAAAAACCCTACGGCATTATTGATCTAGCAGGTGCACTATTTGTTTATTTTCTCTTTGATTTTCTTTCGTCCCTATGTTTAGTAAGATATAGACTCATAATGGTCATGAATGTTCACCTGAGTTATTCGTATCATCTCTTTTTTGTTTCATTCCCAATTTTTCTGGCTATTCGGCGAGTTGTCCTGATCAGGGCGGTAATCCTACAATTTTCCCAACTTCACTAGTTTTTTAGGTTTTGTTTTCTTTTGGGGTTGGATATTCATCATATCAACTACACTGGTTCTGATTTTCAAAAAAGAAGTTGATAATTCTCTGCAAACCGCCACGTAAGTCTTTCGTGCAATGTTCTCTTCTATTTTTACCTGCAATCATTTCATAGGGGAAATGCTGATGATGACGAGAAAGAAATTGATCTGGGAATCGCAGAGACGTACACCGTTTTGTGGAAGATCTTGAGGTTGAAGCCAATGCTTTGGATGCTCGTTATTCTGCTCACAGGAAAGGTGTGTCCTCAAAAAACTCCACTTTGTTTTGCTCTCGTACCTAACATGAATCCTGAATGCTAGGTTGCTTTTGCCGCCACTGATGGTATCACTGGATTGAAACTGATTGGCATGGGCATGCCGAAGGACAGGCTAGCTAGCTTCGGGTTGTTCTTGACCCCACTACAGGTGCGTATGCATTATTACCGCACTTTTTCCACTTTTTTGAAATGCATCTTTCTTTGTCGTACACTATATTAGGTACTCGTTCCGTTACGTTCAGATCTTGCTTCCTTGGATGATCGGAAAATGGACTGCTGGACCTAGACCGCTCAACATATTTTTGATGGCATATCCATATAGGTATCAATTCCAATGATATATGCTTGTGTCTACAAATTTCGTTTGAGGTTGTTTGTTGGAGGCATATTTGCTGCTCTTGTGTACTTTACGCCTTCATTCAAGCTCGATACGGGTAAATTTAGCAATAGTGTCTACGTAGTATGGATCATTGGTTATGTTTTCCATCAGGTGTGTCCTTGCTTTTGTTAGATCAGTTTTGAATTTTACTCCATGTTATATAGCGGTAGAGGATTTGCAGAGATGTGAATGCAGAATGCTCTTGAACTTTTCATTTGCTCTTAGAGAGTTCGTATTAAGACTTGCCTTAGCATGAGTGTCGTTTGATTGCAGTTTTCAAAAAAAAGCACTCACGACCTTGATATTCACTTATGATTTTGATTAAATCAAGTTTTTTTACTTTAATCACTTAAATTGTTAAAGAGCTATTTAGATAGCCACATACTGCATGTTTGTGTCGATGATGGCATTCAATGCACAAGTCTCTGATCCGCGCATTGGTGGCACATACATGACACTGTTGAATACGCTCAATAATCTTGGTGGAAATTGGCCCGTGACGTTGGTATTATCTGTAACGGATTGGTTTACTTGGAAGGAATGCGTCGCTAAAGGCACCAAACAGTAGGTTTTACATCTTGTTTTGAAAGCAAAATTCTTATGTTTCAGACTTTTGAGCTGTGCTCTCCGTACATTTCGATATTTCACTTTTTCTATTTTTGAATACATATCCACTAATAGTTGTCACCCATTTATCTTTATCACTTTCAAGCCCTTTATATGATTTTTTTTCAATTGTGCCGGTCATTTCTTTTTTGGATGTTCTTTTTCTAAAAGCACTTTCCCCAAATCCAAGGTTGGTGGGATTTTGAAAGAAATGTGGAGGATGCCTTTTATGGTTGAAAACACATTTTCTTATTGTGGAATCCAGTTTCGAACTCATTACTTATGCCACCCAGGTTTGTGGGCGTGACTACCCCAGCAGCTTACTCTCCGGGGTGATCTCAGTTCAGAGTACACTCTTTGCAGTGGGACTTGGATACTGGCTTGGTTAGGAGCCCCTCATTGTAGTGCATCATAATCTTGCCGATTTCAGATTTTGGTGGGCGGTGCTTTTAGTAGACAGGAGACTTTTTTATTTGAATTGATTTATAAAAGCAGTTGCTTCCTAATTCTAATTTTTTTCAATAATCGGTCTAGAATATAGGCATTCCATATTCTAATGTATATCAAAACCAACGAGTAATATATGCATCATGCTTAAGTGTTGTAGTTTCTTTTTTCTTGCTTATTTGGGATCGAATGTAGTCTACCAAACAAATTGCAATAGGCCCAGCTTCTTTCATTCTGCCCACTCCACAGCGTTCTACATACCGAAAAGTAACGATACATTTGTGTTTAGTGTTTTGTATACGTGCAACACGAAGCCACTGGCCGAGCAATGTGCTGCTGGAGGTGATGTCTGTGAAATGTCTGTAGATGGCTACTACATCGCTGTCGCACTTTGTTCTGTCATAGGATTGATTTGGTAAGTGCCTGAATTCAGTACCAAGTTCTTGATGTATATCCCATTGCAGGTATAAACTGTTATTCAATAAAATCAAGTATCTACAAAAGATTCCTCGGAAGGAATGGAGCGTAATCAAACGATAAGTCAGTAAATCGCAAATTACCTTGAACTGTTTCTTGCTATTCAGCCAATTTTTCAGCATGTCCATTAGTCATAGAGTCTGTGAAAGGGCAGAAAGCGGATTATGTTTCTACTATTCGAAAACCTCTACAAGAAAATCCTCATTTTCTTGCGCTGCATTTACCAACTTAATAATAATTCAAAGATCCCAGTCCAAACGATGAAAACGGGCCGATAGTGGCCAAAAATCTCGATTCGTCCTCATTTCTTTTTTCTTCATCTCGGTATACTCTTCGCAAGTATGTGCTCCTGACGGAGCTGGTTTTTGCTTTTGACCCTCCCGCTGTGTGTACCCGCTTCCTCAAGTCATTCCTCTCATTTGTAATATAGGTGTGATTTTGTGCAGTCAGTTCTTCTTTTCCTTCTTTTTTCCGTTTCCCTAATCTATCGCTCATATCCTTTATTTGTGATCACATTTTGTGCACTGACACGTGTGGGTCTGTGATAGATCTATTTATACTCCTCTTGAGGATAACTGATGTTTGTTTCTTCTGGATCGAATAATAGTTCATTGATATAAACATTGAGATCACTTATTTGTAAAATTAAGCAGATCAACAAGTAGCAAAAATCCAGTAAGAGGCAATATCGATTAACTAAAAATCAGATCAAAAGGATTTCGGGCAGGTGATAAGTTTGACAGGCTTCACAGGATCGTTTGGTGGACATCGTACGTTGAAGCGAGCCACGCCTTCTTCATCCTGAAAATAGATATTGGGGCTGTATAATCTCCCTATCTCCCTAGAATCAACGGAGTTTTATGTACAATGGACAGTGACGGTCCCTTATATGTGCTTTTTTTGTCAAAAAGAACGGAAGAGGAGCTTACTGTCAGAAAGAGACGAAATACTTTGATTATCTTGTTATCATCTGCGGTTGGAAAGCTTGTGCATTCAAAAAAAACTCGTACATACCGCTTGATTGGATCTTTAGAAGGGAATTTATTCAATTTTTCTACTGAATTTATAATTTTGGATTCATTGCAGGCCAATGGCGGACCGAGGGCCTCTTCCTCTCCCCTTCCGCCTCCAGAATGGTTCACGAAAATCTGGGATATAGTTTATATGCGTTATTGAAGTGAGTAAATGACTAGTCTTACTTGAATATTAGAAAGATTTTGGGAGTTTTTAAAGTTTACTTTTTCATTTCGAATTTCACGCCTTTTTCGAAGGGCGTGCATAATATTTGGTTTTTGTCTCCCGCACCATAGTAGGATTATGTTGATACAATCAGAAGGGCGGAAAAGAAAAGTTTCTAGAGGTTGGCGCAGCAATCTTGATGAGAAGAAATGGCTGAGTGTGATGATAAGAATCTTGGAATTTGGCCAAAAAAGATGTGCAGCAAGCTTCCTAAAGCGTTATTTCTACCCAAATATCAAGATTTTGAGCATTTGGAATCGCACTTATTATCAAAAGTCTGCATGTTCTTTTTTTTGCTCGCAGACTGCGTCGCTTCCAAGCCCTTATCAGCACGAAATTTCCTGTGGCTTGCACAGCATGCAAAAACTGTAATAAATTCGTAGCCAAAGCAGGGTGCTTGTAAAAATTCCTCTTTCTTCAGAGGGGTTTCTTATCTCGATGAAAAATAACTACGGCACATTTGAAGTGGAGTGTTAAAAAATTAGTTCCAATGTGGGGATCCCGATGTGGGTGCCTAAAAGATTCCATTACATTTTTAGAATTATGCATCCTTATAATTTTATACGAATCTTATTTTAAAGGCTATGTCCAGGCTAAATCTAACCCCCTCCTAGTGGCCATCCTGATTGTAGGCCCCAAGAGAGGTACCTACGTGGGTCCTCTATTGTTGTCTGGAGATAATGGGCCTGAAACAGGCAACGGCAGCTACCAAGCTCCGCCCAGACCTTGTCAAGCTCCGCCCACCCATGCACTGAAAGCCGTCGCGTCCTCAAGACGGGGCTCCCAGAAATCGGGTTTTTTCGGGGTTTTAGGGCTCTTTGAAGTTCATAGCTGTAATAAGGGCCACGTAAAGGCCTCAAAATGGCGCGATAGTCGGAGCCGATTCTCCGCCTACCTTCACTTTTGAGCTGGTACAGGTTGACCACCTTCACTTTTGGGTTTGAAAATTTTTTTGCTAAAGCTCAAAAGAAGGAAAATAAGCAAAAGGAATGTAAAAGAAAGTATTAAGAGCATATATCTATGTAGTAGGTCGATCCAGGCAGTAACCGCCGAGAACCAGAATTTCGAATGATAAAATATTGAAAAATCGTGAAAAATCATTCCACTGTTACAAATCTGCTGGCTGAAGACCTCCGCAGTTGCGACTTCATAGGTTTTGAAGGGCAAGTATTGTTCTACCAGATAGTAAAAGAATCAGTTTGATTTGGGGAGTGGCCGCAGAGAACGAGAATTTTGAAAAACCTTAAAAATCTTCTCAATTTTAGGTTGCTTAATGACAACTGACATTTAAACTCTTATAAATCCGGACTCTGAAGGTGTGTGATGTTGCGACTTCATAGGTTTTGTAGGGTGAGGTTTGCCCTATCAGAATATGTCTTAGCTGTACCGATCCACTGCAACTTCGCCGAGATCCAGGCTCTTAAAAAAGCAGGTAAAAAACCGTTTTTCAGCTCATAACTTCTTCAGAACTGCATGAATCACGTTGCGACTTCATAGGTTAGATTCTCCTCTTCAAGAGCTTTCAGATGATATATAATATGTGGGGGATTGAATGTTTCTTGCGGCCCTAACCCGGGGTGGAGTACTCCTCTTCACTAATTCTCCACCCCGCCCATTTCAATGTATTGGCGGAGAATTTCACCCCGCCAGTGGAGAATTAGTGAAGAGAGGTACTCCACCCCCGGGCATATGCCGTGGGAGGCGTGAATCCCCCACATATTATATATCATTTGAAAGCTCTTGATGGGGAGAATCCAACCTATGAAGTCCCAACATGAATTATGCAATTCTGAAGAAGTTATGAGCTGAAAAACGGTTTTTTACCTGCTTTTTTAAGAGCCTGGATTTCGGCGATGTTTCAATGGATCGGTAAAGCTAAGATATACTCTGATAGGGCAAACCTCACCCTACAAAACCTATGAAGTCCCATCATCACACACCTTCAAAGTCCGGTATAAGAGTTTAAATGTCAGTTGTCATTAAGCAACCTAAAACTGAAAAGATTTTTGAGGTTTTTCAAAATTCTCGTTCTCGGCGGCCACTCCCCAAATCAAACTGATTCTTTCACTATCTGGTAGAACAACACTTGCCCTTCAAAACCTATGAAGTCGCAACTGCGGAGGTCTTCAGCCAGCAGATTTGTAACAGTGGAATGATTCTTCACGATTTTTCATTATTTTATCATTCGAAATTCTGGTTCTCGGCCGTTTCTGCCTAGATCGACCTACTTCCTTCGCAGTATGTTATAGTTGTTAGTTTTATAACAAAATTTACTTAATAAAATTTGCACAGTCCCACAAACTTTTACTTCCAGATACACCATTTACTAAACACGTCTATTTTAAATTTTTATAAATAAAATTTATAAATAATTTAATGTTCATCGTATCTGTGGCCCTAAAGAGGGCCGTTGGGTCACAGTTCGACCTAAAAAGATAGCTCTGTTCGTCCATTCTACCCCTCCCCCCCCCCCCCCCCCCCCCCGTCGACGTTTTTGGGAGGTGAGTGTCCGACACTACCACCTTCATTTTTGGCCGGCCAGTGGTAGCTGGGACCACCTTCACTTTTCGTGGGCGCGGCTCCCCCCATCGCACCTCTGATTGTGGGACTTTGTGTGGTTAGCCAATAACTTGATTCAGATTGATGCATCGGCAATGCTAATTTGGCAGCTCATAACCTAACGTTCACTTTTCCTTTTTGTGAAGGACATTTTGGCCTGTGGGATCATTTGTGCCTAGATGTTCCTTAGCAGGTGATACGTAAGTATAGCATTCGAAGAATTTGACACAAAAGATTTTTCGATGCCAAATTCCACTGAAATACATCGCAGACGTCTTTTGCAGGGAATGTCTGTCATCATAAGTAGGGGTGAACTTTCCAACGTACTCTACAGAAAATTCTATCTGCCCCTACTTGAACTTAAAAAGAGGTCAAGCAATTATTGAAAATTAATTGAACCTATGAAAAAGGGAGTTATAGTTACGCTTTCAGTAAGGGCAAGGTTCTTCATAAGAGTGTTTCTGCGCGGATGAAACCAAAGTAGAGCTTACCAATTTCAAAAATTCACTCCATCAAGGAGGTACTTTCTCGTATTTTATGTTAGTTATCGTTTCATTACTTGCTGAGATTTTTATTTGCTTTGCTAAGGCCTGCGATGTTTTTGCGAACAAAAAAGAAATTGCAATTAAGTTCCACCTCCAGAAAATTACATTCTTTCATAAGCCACTCTATGCTAGGTTTGCTATATTAGAAAATTGTAGTGTTCTGCATTATCACCTACCTCAGTATCTATGGTCCATATACCATGGTCGCGATTGCAGATCATTGGAACTACGATAGACTTGTATCCATCGTCTGACATCGTAGTGTTTCGGCAGATCCCAACCATGACCAGATCATCCTTGAATATCAGAATTTCAAAAAATTACAGAGTGCTTTGTTAACTACCTTTAGATGAACTCGGACTATTTTATAGCGATTCTGTTCAACGCACTCTGTGCGGCATTCTAAAATTGTTCATCAGTGAGGAAAGAAAAGGTAGAATTAGGGTTAGACAAACCTCCTACCGCTCCACCATCGACTATAAGAGCAATCGAGAATAATAGCAGTAGTAACGCAAACATTAGTGTAGAAGAAGACGGTTGCTATGCACTAGCCACCCCGTGATTATATAAGTAGAAGGAAGTAGTAATTGATTAACCTGAAAGTAGGTACGTGTCAAATAGATTTATGAGAACGATTGTAATGTGCGAAGTCATCTTACTGCACTTTAAACGTTATTTCACAAAATATGACGTCAAAACATAGACAGGCAATATACTGTGAGTACAAAATCTTCCACTCGGCAAACAAAAAAATTTGTACACCAATTATTACGAAATCAAGCTCAATGATTTTGTTACGATCTGCTATAAATTACATTAGATGAATGTACTTCGGATGCAACATTTTCAAACAGCCAAACTGAAGTGATCAATTTTCTATCGTTCTATGAGTTTACACTTTTCATCTTCGTCTTTTTTCCAAACTTGGAGAAGTGTACTGTTTATGTATAGGAAGCTCAGAGACCAAATAGTTTAATGCTTAGTCATTTCTTACATATGAATAATGCTGTAGCACTTCAGCCCTGTAAAATCAAAGAAAATGCAGAATCTGGTGTTTTTGTGGCATTGTTTTGCGGGCAGCACATGCCTTTGGAAACCAATGTTTATCACATGATGAAGAGTAATCAGTCTTTTCTAGAAACCTGATCTAGAGAATTTGCCAACAGTTCTAGCCATTTAGGGTAGGTACCGTATCAAACACCTATCATAGTGACATTGCCATTATCGAAAGCGCATCACTTCATAATGACTTTTCAGCCATCTTTTGAAGATAAGTGGAATGAACTCATTGCAGTAGCGATTGAGAGGGTGCAGTTTTATGAGTTTTATTATTAGTTTCACTTTTTTCAGTTTTATTATTTTTATTATTTTTTTTATTAGTTTTATTTCATTCTGCACAAATTCATTGTCAAAATGACGATTGGCGCTCAGGTAGGGATGACTATCTAATGTTTCCTAATTTGCTCTTTCCAATGGTACCAAACACTCTTACATAAATTGATTTCCAAAGTTTCTACAAAAAGTTGAAAACGACCGAACTTATTTTTTAGCCAACCTAATAGTTCATAGTAATAATCTCAGGATGGACAACAAAGATCTTGCAACTTTACTTCAATGAATTATGATGAGAGAAGCAGCAGATTATCCGATTAGAACGCAAAATAGATCCAGAGAGATAGTGACCGTCGCGATCGCTAAAGTAGTCAGTGCTTCATTTGCGAGAAGTCATTACAAATTCATTCAAACTGCAATTGTAAAGACACGCTCAATAGGCAAATTTACAGAACATCCGTGGAACTCGTTAGCAGAACGAGAACGCCGCTTGCTAGTCTTGGAGAAACTAGGTAGTTTCATCTTTACTACAAAAACTTTAGGTGTAAGTTGATGTGTAATATTGACAATCACGAAAATATTGCATTGATATGGACTATATCGAAGTAGCTGTGTCTAATTATTACTTCCCTTTTAACTGAAAGAAAGATGCATACATAAGGCTACAAAATTCAAACAAAACCAATGTAGCCTCTTCGTAAGCAATAACTAGAAAGAGCGTAGCTTTAAAACTGATTATCATTATTACTACATGTGCGAAGTGGTTTGCGGACAAGAAATGTAATCAATGGCTTAAACTATCTACTGCTTACTCATTGTTCCATCAAATTGTTTACCTTGCTAATCCTCATCGTTGCAAAAGCATCAACTCCAAAACTGTTCGTAGACTTCCTTGTCGCTACTATTCATAGAGGGTTACAATAAAGGAATGCAAGTAATACATACATGGTGTTAGATAAGGTGTTGGTAGATTAGATGTGGTAAAAGTATGCGAAAGTCAGGTAACCAAGGAATTTGTTAGTGTTGTAAACAGGTTTTGGCATGGTGCATCAACTACATAACAGCAAGCTGCAATTTTCGCAGAATTACCGCTCCCAGTTCATTCACATCAAGAGTTCGTAGGTTTAGAAATTTACTGGACCTTAGTAGAGACTTTTCAGCATCAATTTAGCTCACAGTTTAACAAATTTAGTGCGTCCATTTCTTAGAGTAACTTCAAAAATCATAATGATTTGTTGGAATTTTCTTGTTTGTTGAACGATTGTCGATAATTGAGCTGCAAAAACTCTTTGGTGTCGTGCTCGCATGAGACCTTTGAATTCTTAACCAGAGAAAAATTACAGCAGCATCAAGCAGGTCAGGACCAGGCACGGCTGGCTCGCGAGCCGGTCTGGATATCGTTTACCGTGGGAGAAACTGAAGATATCTTATGGCTCGCCATTAACAAACAAATGGCTTGTTGAGAAAGTCAGTGATACGAGACCAAATCTAGCGCTCACATGCGCACGATGACCTCTAGATTACACTTAACTTTGTAAGGATTGGAAAACTTTTGCAAAGTGGGCACTCCACTTCCAACTCTAATCAACTTGCTCCACGGCATGGACGAAGGTATACAATTATGATTTGCAAGAAAAGCCACTTGCAATGTTGCTTGATTACCTGGTGCTTGATTGCTCAATCGTTCTAATAAGCCTCACAATCTTTGATTCCAAATCATAGCTGAAACATGATTCGTAGCAGGCGCTTCAAGCTGATAAAGATGCAAGCGCTGACATCATACATGACACTATATTGACAGTAATTTTTGGTTGAAAAAAAGAAGCAAGATTTCGTTTTTTTTTTTGATCACAATCAATCATGGAAGCCTACTTTCTGATATCACCACAATTCTCATACTGTTTTGAACGAACAAAGGCTGGAAAGGCGATCAAGCACCCATGGGTGGATACAAGTGTTACCTGAACTCTGCATTATAGCGAATCTTTTGAACACAGCACCACTCAATCTTAGACTAATTTCTCTAAACAATACTGACATCTGCAACTGCCTTAAATTGATAATCGTTTGATGATTTGCAATCCTGATTGCAGTTTCACGAGGAAAAGAATAGCAGGAATTTGGATATCACATGACCGCAAAACTAGAGAACCGTCGTCGATGCCCGCTGCATTCAAAAGACATGTGAAAGTATCAACTTGGAAGTCTTTTGACAGTTCAAATTATTTTAAACTATACAGTATGACACAAATATTTCAGTGACTTGGCTACGAATTCACAAAAAGATGTCATGAGCAGATTGAATCGAACCTTTTGTGGTAATGGACTGATACCTTTGTTCACTAATGCGCCAAGGGCGAGACTTTCAACAATTATTTGCAGTGAAGAGAATCGCAGCATGGTTTGCTACATAGAGATCATTTTTTGAATTGTAAAACTGAAGCATAGAACATGGAATTGCACTATGAACAAGAATTGCGGTTTAAGCTAGAGATACTGGTATTGTCGGACAGAGGAAATCATGGGTCTTGCTGGGTTCCGATTTTGACAGGAGATATTACATGCGCTATCAAGAATGATTACTAACAATTCAAGCTTTTCAAGGGGATTCTCGTTGCAGGTGATATCATGAATGTTTCCGAAGTTTTTTCGTGCCACTCAAGCGAATGTTAAGGAAGTCAGAAAAACAAGATGACGTCTTGTAATAAACGAGAATATGAGAGTTCAGTAAAGTAAGAAATCCAACTTATTTTGAATATTTGATCGGAAAATAAGCACGAGAGCAAGGATAAAAGTAACGGGAAAGTCTTTCGAGCGTCATAACATGTGAACGATGACGGTCGCAGTCACAGCCAAATCACTACGTACTTCTTACTTAGCTTTATGTGGAACCTACGGTTCTGATTTATTGCTTCATCTTTCTACGTTATTTTGATAGCCAGTTTTTGGTACTGGGACGATTTTACATGACCCAAATCAGATAATGATAAGTAAGACGTCATAAGCACGCGCGTTGACAAGAAAGAAAATTTTATAAATCAGCTCAAAAGTGTTCACCCACACAATCACCAAGGTTTTTGAAGTGAGCAAACATGTTGATTCGATTTATAACTGGCAATGATGACGAGTGAGCCTTCTGCAATGGATCACAAACCTGAAGGTCGGCGTAAGTTTTCACGATGTTGATGTTTTTGTACAAGTGACTTTCGCTTAGTATTGAAAATAGAAAACATTAGTGATGTCTGTCTCAAATTAGCGGAAAAAATCTGCAATTTGTTGTATGCGTAGTGTACATGGGCAGAAGAGCATGAGGATCATACTTGTTTCTTAATAGGCACTCATCTAATGTTGGATCGGTGTAAGCCAAGATGAATGATAGCTGAAAATAAGCATACTTTACTCCTGCGGTTGTCAATATGCCGCGCACATAGTCTTAATTTTTGAAGCGATAAGTTCTTCACTGGCTTGAAAATACGAACAGTAACAATTAGAGCTATCGAGCTCCCAGCATTTTTCTCATCTTAATCATCATCGTAGCGTAAATATAGAACTTCAAAATTATTTGATCTACGCCACTCATATGGGTGGCACAAACTATCGTTCAAGTTGGCTGTCCCCATTTGCTTTTATTACTTCTTTCAATGTACAAAAGCAGCTCCGCTTCAGTAGCAATCTGAAGGTGAGTGCAAAGTAGAGTTTTCACTTGTTTTCTTGGTAATCGCAGTGAAGATGACTCCAAGTCGAGAAACATTTTGGGTTGAACAGTTGTTTTAACAGAAGCAACCGCGTTTGGTGATCTCATAGAGTATCAAAGAATACTTCTCCATTTGTACGCGAGACTATTGAATGGTTCATAAAATTTCAATAAAATTCTGAGCTGTTTTGATAATCTCACGAGAACTAGCTTCCATAACCGAAATGGCATTCAAAGAAAAAGAATGTCATATTCATGACCTATGAGAGAGTCTCTTGCATTGATCCAGCCTACGCCAAGGAAATTAAGAGGAAATTGATAGCGAACAGTGAATGAATGCTTGCTGAGTCGCAACTATGTAATGTCTTTGAATGCTTTACCCGCATTCATAAAAGCTACGTCAAAATGCCGTTTGCGGCATTCTTGTACACTCTTGCATGTGTAACAACTCATCACAATGTCGTGATGTACATTCAAGCGGTTTAGAATCAGGTTATGTCACAGTCAATAAAACAAAGAAATGACTAGAGGTTTCTTCAAGATCCCTAATTGAATGAGAATTCGGAGATGG